TACAAATTACAAATATCGTCATTTTCTTCCGTTGTATTCTTCTATAAGTGGCCTTTAATCTGTGGTTTTGCTGCATTGGTGATTTTTTCAGGAAGTGGGGTTTTGCAGACTTCATATCCATTTTTCATGCCATCTCATCTTTGCCTCTTTTTCATTTGCAGCTCACGTAAAGTCCCTTCCTGTTGGTCTGATTTAGGACCTCGCAGATAATTTTTTTCTTAGAATTTCATTATTTTGTATTAACATACGTCTTCGATAGCCAAGGGTTTCTGATCCACTAAGAGCGAAGATGGTAAAAATACCTTCATAAATAGATCATACGTACGAATAAAATATTTGTAGACTGTCTGTGTTGTAGTTTTGTTTATGTCAAAATTCTTGTATTATCAAACTTCTCAAATCAAGAAAAAGCCATGAGTATGTAAAACATGTCCAAACCATACGTATTTTCTCCACATATTGTCAAGCAGAATGTTTAAACATCACCAAATATGTATGTGTCACCAATACATGTAGTGCGTATGTGAAGAATATTAACCCAATATACATTCACCCACATACACATATGTAAAATGTTTACCAACATACATATGTATAAAATGTTTTGTGTGTATAAACGATTTTGAGGTTTAAATACATTCTGAATGTCTATATCCATTTTGGAACTGTAAATGTAACTGCGAAAAAAGTTTATTTTTATGTTTTTTTTTTATTTCATAAGAAAATCATTGTAGATTCACGTTATTAAATGCTTAGCTTAGCATACCTAAATAATAAAACAAGAGGCCCAAGGGCCTTATAGGTCACATGAGTATCACGTAACAACTTTCCAACAATTTAAATTGGTTCGTTTTTTTAAACAAGAGGCCATGAAAAACACAATTTTGAAAAAGGCATCATTGCTTATCATAACTAAACACTTAGCATGCTTACTTTGATTACTTAATACCCAGAGGTAGATCAGGGTAACAAAGAGGGAATGCATTTCCACTTTATAACCAATTGTGCATACCACCCCACAGGAAACAATGACCATGGGGCCACATATTTCAAAATTTTGGAAATTGTATCATAAATTTTATTTCATCATTAATGGTTGATTAATACCAAAGAGCAGATTTCAAAGCATCAATTTATTTTCATACCAGGTACCCCCCCCCTAAGTACCCCTGACCCAGATACCATGAAATTGATCATTTTGAAAGAGGAACATTTCTTCATCATAGATATGTACTTAGATCATTGGCATAATACCCAGGAGCAGAGGAGAAGATTTTTAAAGATTTTTTTGCATTTTCACTATATAATCAATAGAGCCCCACGCTAACACCAGAATCCCTGACCCTGGGGCCTTGAAATCCACAGTTTTGGAAAAGGCAGTCTAATTCAACAAAGCTATGTACTTGGTTAGTTCATTTAATACCCAGGACCGGAGAAGATTTTTAAAGAATTAATGTATTTTCACTATATAAGCAATAGAGCCCCACCCTAACTCCAGAATCCCTGACCCTGGGGCCATAAAATTCACAATTTTGGAAGAGGCATTCTGGTTCATTTGAATATACCGGGTTACTATGTACCTAGTTAGTTTGTGTAATACCCAGTAGCAGAGAACAAGATTTTTAAATGGATTTTCACTATATAATCAAAAGAGCCCTGCCCTAACACCAGAACACCCGACCTAGGGGCCATGAAATTCACAATTTTGGAAAAGGCATTCTTGCTCATCATAACTATGTACATAGTTCATTGGTTTAATACCCAGGAGCAGAGGAGAAGATTTTCAAAGAATTATTGCATTTTCACTATATAATCAAAATAGCCCCAACCTATCACAAGAACTCCTGACCCTGGGGCCATGAAATTCACAATTTTGGAAGAGGCTTCCTTATTCAACATAACTATGTACTTGGTTAGTTAATTTGATACCCAGGAGCAGAGAAGAAGGTTTCCAGATAAATAATGCATTTTCACTATAAAATCTATTTAGCCCGGCCCTAGCACCAGAACCCCTGACCCTGGGGTCATGATCATTACAATCATGCCAACAGTGTGATTGCTTGATGTCCAGGAGTAAAGAGGAAGATTTTTAAAGACTGCATTAATATCAGTGGTTTTGGCCCCACACCTCAGCCCCAGGGGGGGGGGGGGGGGCAGGGACCATGAAATTCACAATTTTTGTTCCCCTTTAACCATAGATGCTTTATGCCCAAGATGGTTGAAATTGGTTGAGCGGTTGCAGAGAAGAAGCTGAAAATGTTCAAATGTTAACGCACAACGCACGACGATGGACGAAAACAGATAGCAATAGGTCAATTGAAATTAATTAATGAAAATAATATTTGGAACTGTATTCTCAAATTAGACGGCCTTGGATTCAACGTGTTTATTATATTATATTTATCAATTTGACAAATATGAGTGTTCTTCATAATTATATATTTTTTTCATAAGGTCATTACTCTATCATTTAAAGTTGAATGACTTAATTTAAAATAAAAAGAAAAACATTTTATAAATACATATTAAAACGTCATACAGTTGAAATATTACCATTCAACCTAACACATTTATCTAAAAAGAAAATTTAAAGTAATTTACAACAGAATCACCAAAATATATTATTGGTCGGAAAGACGTTTGAGGAACAACGAAAACAAATAAATGAGTGAAACCGTTTACAATTTATACTTTTCAGCTATAATATATAAGGAATTACGTGTTTTTGTAGTTGTTTTTTTTTTATTTATTGTCTCAGATTATTCTATGTTGACGCATTTTCATATTGAGGAGATGTTTTTTAAACAAACAACTCTCATTTACTCTATTTTTATGCCTTTTAATACATTCTGGGTTGTGTATCGATGGTTAGGAGTTTTTTTTATTTGTTTTATTTTTTTTTATTTGTTTGATGGAGGGATGCAATCAGGTGCAGGTGAAGCTTTTTGAGAATGACATACAGATGTAGTCAGCAACTGGACAAGTCCAATATGCTTTTACAGATTTCTGCACAGAAGTAATTTTAATCTCACTATTGAACACCTTACGAAAAACCGAAAACATAACTGAAAATGCGTTGTTCCTTATATAACATGTTGTTGAGACTGTCAACCCCATTCATTTTTGGGTGTTTGATCACCACCCTGATCTGCGATTCAATAAAAGTGATGATTGGTTATGCCCAAAAGGTTTTTTGTTTGTTGTTTGAAGTCCTTGTCGCGCAACTTTTACTCAGATGGAGACGTCACCACTTGCTGATGGATACCTATGCAATCTACCTATAATCGGCCCTTATGGCTATTGAGCAGCGAAGAACTTTTTCATGCCAACACCTACATGTACAGCGAGTCGGGACCTCAGTTTATATGGTCTTATCCGAAGGACCGCTCTCCACGTCCCCCACTGGGGTTCGTACCCGCGACGCAACCATCATCTCTTTACGCCGCGACTCTCTCTAGACCCAGAAGCTCTTATCACTGCGCCACGCAGACGACGCCAAAAAAGTGAAAAAATGCTAGGAAAAAGTGAAAATCAAAATGTGTTCTTGGTATTTCTTTTCTGCATCATTGGGATTGAATGTAAAATACAGTCTGCACAGGTAATCAAGATAATCATTACTGGAAGCACACACTTGAAAGATGACGTCATATTCCATACTATTTTCATTATAAAAACGCCACCTAGTGAAAGTTTTTGCTTCCTCAATGCAAAACCGGAAATAAACTTCTGGACTATACTAGAAAAGGATTTAAAGTTTTATGTAAATAATAATGATGCGCGATAACAATCAGGCGCATATGCATAAATAAATGCCATTAAATGACAAATCAGAGCGCTCAGACCGTCGCTACTTATTATTTATTACCTAGACATGTCACTCACGTGTCAAGAGCCATTTTTTGTTCAACTTCCGCTCTGAGTGAATCTATTTTTATAAAATTTAATTTTTTTTTTAAAAAAAGGGGTTACTTGTTAAAGTGATGTTCATGTACAATTTGTGTTGTGTAACAGTTATTATTATATTTTTGGGAGATATATGATGTACGTAAAAAAATTTTGATTCATTAAATTGGTTACTGGTGATACGAGAAAAATGTCAATAACGCATTTTATCAAAAAAGTAAAAAAAAAAAAAATTCTAAAAAGTTGAATGACTATCGGGTATAATTTTTGAATCTACCAAACAAATGCAATTCAAATCAAAGATGCCACTAGTATCCAAATCAAAGAGACTATATACATACATGATTGTTTAATCCAAATGTGTATTTGGTATTGTACATGTAAAACTACTTTTGTAGCAGACTATCATTTATCGTCGCATTAAAATTGATGCTATTTTACAAAAAATCAACTAAAGTATACCAGATGCAATGTATTAATATTAATTCATTTTGTAACAGGTGTTTTGTTGACGTGAGAGTTTATAATTGATTCCAAAAAGTTGAATATGCAAATAAAAATATTTTATACTGTTCATTTACATGAAAGTCGATCTCAACATCAGTTCAAGATAAGTCCACAAAGCTTCCTCAAGTTTAAAAATAAATTTTTAAAAAAAACTGAAAGAGCATCCAGATTTTTGAAAGCATGTTCCGTGGTTTATCAATTAAAATTTCTGTATTGCATCACTCTAGATATAAAACAATGTATCGATTGATGAGATAAAAATGTTTGTGTCTGAAAATGAAAAATTTCCAATATACCACAAGTACTCAATCTTTGTATGTCAAACTATCATAATAAGAACAGTTTATGTTTTGATCATCAAAGGTATTAAAAAGATGATGAATTATTCATTTTCCGAATCTTCAATTAACAAACCTTGTATTCATTACTGAACAATTCATAACGTCAATCTTGGCTAATTTAGAAGGGCATCTGGGCTGCTGTTAATTTAATGCAGGCAATTACAAAGTGAAATACATTAATGTATTTTTTTTACCAGATTTATAAAAGGTGACGAAAATTACCTTCTTCTTCATTTTACGTTATGACAGGGAACCTTGTGCCTGTAGGCATAAAGAGAACTCATACATAAGCAGTGTTTTCTTGACAAGCGCCCTGCCTTCAACGTAATTTGACTACAGCTGACAGCTGAATATATTAGGAAGTCTTTTGCTTTTCAACGTCCAAAGAGAACAGTCGGACTAGTGTGGACTTAAGATTTTATATCTGGAATATATAGCTTAGGTTTTTTTCTTAGTCAAATTAACTGTTCAAATTGGAGTTAAGCAAGGATATCCGTCGAGCCAATGCTTCTTTATTGTAATAGTGAATAAGCAGTGGATCAAGATTCTAAAACTCTTCTGAAAAAAATGATGACGAAAACTGTTTTAAGGCTTGCTTTCTTGTGTGGAATATGTACCGTGGTGGAACTATTAAGCCCTTGTGTAAAATGTCAAAACGATGAAACGTGCAAAGCCCCTGACTGCTTCTGTTGCCGAAGTGAGCTTAATTTACCAATTCCATTGAAAAACACACCGCAAATTGTGTACTTTACTTTTGATGATGCCTTAACTGATGCTGCCTCAAAATTTTACAGAAAACTTTTTAACGAAACAAGAATGAACCCCAACGGTTGTCCAATATCGATGACAATGTTCATTTCACATCAAGACACTATCTATCGAAATGTTAAAGATTTCTACGAGAGAGGAATGGAAATTGCTTCCCACAGTGTAACACATAGCCATATGAAAACTTCCAATTTTATGCAAGAGGCAAAGAAACAGAAAAGGAATCTCGCAAAGTTCGGCGGAATACCAGAAAACGAGATTGTAGGATGGAGAAGCCCATTTCTAGAGCCCGTCGGTGACATGCAGCCCGAAAAACTCAAGGAATTGGGATACCTGTATGATGCTACTCTTACATTCAGTAAAAGAAAATTAACCGATAAAGCACCCACACCCTTTACACTTGATTTTGGTTGGCCCTACGACTGCAAAGTCAAACCTTGTCCCAAGAGGCGTCACTCAGGGTTTTGGGAAGTACCGGTTGTTTCTTTGTTGGACTACAAGCATAAATATGATTGCGTTTACGTTGATGGCTGCAATAATCCACCACCAAACGAAGCTTCCGCCTACCAGTTTCTCATGGATAACTTTAACAGTTACTACACCACTTCAAGAAATCCGTTTGGGATCAATATGCATCCGTCCTGGTTTTATATTCCAGATCGACTGAACGCCATGGACAGGTTCATAAATACTTTACTAAAAATGGACGATGTATACATTGTGTCTGTAGAAAAAACAATCAGATGGCTCCAAAACCCAACACCACTATCTGAATTACACTCTTTTGAACCATGGAAATGTGACCACGTAAAAAACAAACAACAAGCTAACACAGCCACAACGAACAACAGACGCCACATGGGGTTATCTCCCATGGAAAAACAGCACATGTACATACAACAACGTCTCCAAAAAATTGCAGAGATGCGAAGAGAAATCGAGTTAAAACGACAACGAGAATTACAAATAGAAATAGCCTTAAAGAAGCAGAGAGAATTAGAATTGATTCAAGGTCAGACTGATTATGCTAACAGAGATTGGTGGTCTCCTCCTCGCAGACACTCAAACAATATTCCCCAAAGTCCGTTCACGGAAGAAATCCCAAATGCGCATGTTCTAGATACCCCGGTAGATGAAACACCCCTGGAACTTAATAAACAAGAGGATCGAGTGGCAAGTAAGTCATCTACAAATTCAAAACGCCCAGTTTGGGAGCACAAATCAAAAAGAAACAAATCATCTACAAAATCAAACCTCTCAAATAGGGAACAAATTTTAAATCGAAATCAACAGAAACAAAGTTCTAGTACTCAAACAAAAATTGTTCCCTTTTGGCAGCAGGGGCAACTGGGATCTCGACGTTTGCCTGAAGCGGCTTTCCAAAGAGACTCCCGTTGGTGGAACAAACCTGTGCCTTACGTGAATGACTTCAAGTACATGGTCGCTTATTCTGTTTCTACTAAACCTCCTTCAGTAACTACAGCTAAAATAGCAGCATCAACGGAATCTCCACCAACTACATATAAACCGCCATCTCCTCCTAGAAGAAGTGCTGGGGTTGATTTGTTCAGAGAAAAACAGCTCATAGAATACCAGCGTAGGCAGCGCCTAATTCTAGAAAATCAAAGGAAAAGAGAAGAGAAACAACTAAAACAGCAAAGACAAGAACTCCGAAAAAACGAGAAAGAATCATTTACAAAGCAACAGAGATCTAGATCTAAACATAAACCATATTTCACCTGGCGAGAAATTATTCCTTCTTCAAAACATCGATGATTAAAAACATAAAAAAAGACTTCTCAGGACTTTTGAAGTTAAGTTTTTTATTTTCCATATGATTTCCTGCCTCATACCTTTTTTTCAGTTTTTGATGTCAAAAACAGGGACCGACCTCAAGTGCTTTCATTTTTAAGTTATATGAAGTATACATTTACATGTATGTACATATCGGGACCAATATATTTTTTTAGTTATTCTATCATTTCTTTGTCTGAAATGGAAAAAATGTTATGATCTTTCTGTTTTGCAAGTCAGCCCCACGGACAGTTTGTGATTAGTGTGAATGTATGTGATTGATGGGAGATTCCTCATACTATGCATGTAATTTATATTTATCTGCCTTCGTTTTTGAACGCCTTTTCTGAATATACAGTTGTGCCTTTTTGGTGTACAGTGTGTATGGAAAAAAATGTGAGCAGTTTTAATAGCTATCATGTTTTTTGGCGAGACAGACTAAATACCGAAACCCATTAAAAGTTTGATAACCATGTATACTGAAGTCATTCAAAATGCTAAAAATGTCTTTCTATCATGAAGCCATGCAAATAATTTACCGAGTTGTGCGACCGATGATAGATTATGTGCCAAATAGAACCATTTTATGATGCTTTTGCCAAAACATGGTGTTTGTGAATGGATGTTTTCCAATGTTTGATGTCAGAATGTGTTTAATTGCCAATTTGAGTAACAGAATTCATAATAATAAAAATTATATACTTACCATCTTTTTGTCGTTCAATTCAAATTACTCTCGTTAATTGTATAAATATTAAACTAATTGTAGTAAAAGGTACAGAGAGACACAAAGCACAAGGTTCAAAATGTATTTTCAACCCGCTCGTATTCATAACGTATGTGTTAATATCTTTAACTTTTCAACATAGTTCATCACGAAAAGATTAAAGTTTAATTAGAATGATTAACAACCACGACACTTAACGTCAAAAGCAAAATACTTATTACTGAAATTTACGATCGTGAAAATCAACGATTTCGTGAAAATGTAATTTATTATTCGTCAGCACTTAGATCTTGACCGTTTTACCATGCTTTGATAGCGTGTTTAGATTGACGTTATTTTATTAACAAGTCAGTTACAAATTGATTTTTTTTTTAAGAAAAGCGGTTTCAAAAAATGGATAAAAAATGTATTTTCTTTATAATTTACGCTTATTGGCAAACCTTTAGTTGTAAGATCCTTGTACCGTTGTCAGAATGTCACAAATTATGACACAAGTCATTTGTTTGTCAGTGATAGTCATTAGAAAACCACCGGCAATGAGCTGTTCCTTGACCAAATTGCTTCCAACCTGTTCTGTCATTGTTTGGCCTAAAATAGAAGAAAACGTTAAATTTGTAAGACACAAGAAGTGAAGGTTTGGTATCATTTAGGATTGAATAATATTTTCATACTAAAATAAGATTTACATGAAGTTGTTTTCGAGTTGTTTGCTTACTTAAAGGATGGCATGAAATAAAATTAATTAATATTAAAAACTAAAAAGCATGCTCCCCCGAAACTGTGTGTTTGTACAACAGAAACAGCTCGACACACAGGCCTGAAGCATTGGACACAAGGACATTTTTGGAGAAATCTTACCCGTGTATTACTAAATAATAAAAGATTAGATCTCGATGAGCTATAATTATATAAAACATTCACTCTTGGAACATAATAAAATTTCAGAACCTGGTACCCTTAGGGTAAGAAGATTTCAGAATGAAAAAAGAAATGCAAATATGAAATAAATTCGAGTTTGTTTTTCCGCTAGTCGGAAAGGCCCCCGAGAAGTTGCTATTAACGTTTTATGATAGAAAACTCTTTCTGAAAAATGCACAGTAACCTATTCTTGCCTTTACTCTTACTTAAACAATGAATAACCAGACACCATAGAACTTCCTTCAGTCATACCATGATTGCAAGGAATTCAATTGATTATAAATGGCAAGAAGCGATGTGTATACCTCCATCGGTGTTTAGTTCTATTTCAGTATGTATCGAAAAACCTGACAACACCATGCATTTCCAACTTTGTCGCAGTGGTTAGAGCGTCTGCTCTAGAATCGCAAATTAAGGAGTTTATCCTTACGTCGCGGGCTCGAATCCCACTGAGGGATGTGGAGAACAGCCCTTCGGATGAGACCGAATAAACCGAAGTCCGGTGTCGCAGTAGATGATGGTACGAAAAAGATTCCTCAATGCTCAATGCCGTAAGTGCATGCCGAGTATAGGGCAAAGATTTGCAGCTCTCCACCGGCAGATGGTGGTGTCTCCATATGAGTGAAAAATTCCCGAGAGGGATGGTAGACAATATACAAACAAACAAACAAAACCAAACTGGTTAGGTTTTTTTTTTGTAATGTCATACCAATTTATTATAAATTCTGAGATAATCCTTGTCCAGTATTCATAATATTTAGTCATGCACTTAAAGACATCCCTATTTTTTCATGAGCATATATTTAGTCTAGTGAATGATCTGTCCATTTTATATACAGCATCTTTATACTTTTATGTAGGAGGATTTATGCGTTAATGAAAGCGAAAAAAATCATGTTTTGCACAAATAGGCCGTGTGTATCGTCTAGAAATCACAAAAACAACGATGTCATGAACATGTCCATGTATTCAAGGTTGTTTTTTTTTTTCGAAAAAATTATCCAGGTTATCAAATTTGTGTCACTTTTCTGAATTAAATAAGAACAACCAGTTGATTTAAAGGTCGTCTCGTATTTTTATTAGAAGAAAAAGGTTAATACGAAGAAAGAGATATGAAATGTTTGATGATTTTTGAATAATTCAAAGTCTTAAGAATCAATTTTACATTAATCATTCTTACTGTACAAGTTGCAAAACAAACCTCAAAAAGTCTTCCGTTTCTTCTATTCTTAATGAAATTATTAATCACGTGACTCATAAAAGCTGAAAGGTCATCTGCTCGTACAAATTGCTTTAATTAAATGTCTGAAGATGCGGGCACGTGCTCGATAAATTACACAATCTGACAAATAACTCTTTTCTTTTGACATTTATGAATACTTTACATGTCTATTTGCAATATTTTATGCAAGAGTTTAAATATAAGTGGATGCAAATTTTAAAACTGCAGGATTTGGATGCAATCTAGTTGCATGTTTTTTAACCTGCAACATTGCTCCTTGTTTTGGTTGGCAGATTGTACATTGCAATTGCGTCATTTTGCTCGACCTATAGCATCGCAAACAAAGCAATTTAAATATTATAACCCTTGACCATAAAAAGGTATTTGCCACATAAATTAATTCTGGTAATTAGCTTATTTTTCGATGAATCCACGAATCTTTTACTTCATATTTACTAATTACTAGATGTTCTAATGATAAAAGATTCCCAAATGTACATATGTCAATAAAATCGTGAAATACTTTAGGCAAAGTTGAACATTGCGCATTTTTAATGTGTTAGGATTTATTAAACAATGCATAAGCGATACAGGAATCCTTTCACTATGGACTGTAATTCCATCAAAATGAACTGTAATTCTATTAAAATCCATTGAGGTGGAAGAAAATTCATGAAAGAGAGTTAACATAAAAGACAAAAATACATCAAGCTTTCAAGCCATGCTGCGAAATTTCGAAATCAAAAATCGGTCAGAAAATAAAATTATATTAAGCATTAGTCAATAACATGTAGCTGGGAATCATTGAATCATTTTTTTACTTATATTCTGATATGAATAAAAATTATAAAAAATTATAAAAATATTTTTTTTAAATGCTATACAATTCGAAAAATTTAAATCAAAATGATAATAATTTTTCAAAATGAGTGAGAACTTTTTTCTTTTTTTTTTTTTACAGTTTTCAAGCAGAACACTAACATTTACTTAATACATGTAAGAGAATGGACAAAAAATGCAAGAAAAAAAAAAAAAGACCTCCAAAGAACACTGACTAAATTTATTTTTATTTGAAACCCAACCATATAAATTATTTCCTTTTTAGTAGCCCAGTCTATAAACCATTAAGAAATCTGCATTGTTAAAAAATGAATTAATTTTAAAAAAAACTTTCCAAAAATAATTTTATGCAGTTGATGTGCAATAGGCTGTCGACCACATGCAGATGTGATAGTCGGAGACTGCACTTGCTTTGTAATTAATCAATTTTCTTGCCACAAATTAAAGCAGTTACATGTAGTTTGCACATAAACACATAAGATGAAATATAGAAGAACATTTAAGGCCAGCAACTAATATATACCATTTTGCTTGAAGACGTTTTAATTCGATGATTTACGACGACCACAAACTATTTTGTAATATTAAAACAGACTATTTAGATACAGTGCTGGGAATTTATGGTTTGGGTTTTGATTAGTCATTGAAAATAACATAGTGCCATCTCTTGAGAATTTCAGAATGTTTCCTTATTTTTAGGCAATTTGATTGCAATTTTATTAAATTATAATAATAAAGAAGACTGGGTTGAAATACTAATACCTTCACTCCTAAGTAATGAGTATTCTAGTATGAAGAATTATATGAAAAATCACAATCTTTATTAACACGTAGTTGGTAAGCTAAAACAATTATAATTTTATTTTTTTAATTATACTGCTCTAATTTCTAGTGTATAAAATAATATAATCATAGTTTTAATATTATTCATATTACTGTCTAATTGCATAAAAATCTCCTATTGCTTCCTGAAATAACTCATGGAAAAGTTTTATTGTATGATATTTCTGTATATAAGAAGATAGAAGACGACTTACGTACATGCAATTACGATTTGCTGACTTGAGATACTTATAATTGTGTATAGATACTTCCTATTCAACTAGGGTTCTATTATATTTATAGCTACATGTATATACCCTATTCATCTGAAAAATTGTTCAAATACTGTAAACCAACTTTTATTCGCGTGCATGAATCCCCGATGTTAACTTACATGCAAGCGATATTTTCAATAACTTTATCTTAGTCTAATACATTACTTTATTAATTAAAAATATTCCATCTACCAGTACGATAATTTATCATAGGAGTAAGTTTATTCCAATATTTTACATAAAAGGGTTGGTCGCTATAACTGCATCAAACCCATGGAACCAAAATTAAAACGCTTTCTTTCAACAATGTTTAGACATATATGAAAGTTTAATAATTGATATTAATAACTTCCACGTTCCGTTTAGCAACGCTAAACGTCAAAACGTCATTTAATTTCAAAATTAATTTCAATAAATTTTAAGTTTTAAGAGTTATAAGCAGAAGCAAATTTTGGTCTTAGTCGTAAGTTCTTTTGTAAACGGGCCCCAAGAATCCAAGACCCCCTATTACAAAAACTTTCGTCTTAGACCGATTTGTCATTTTTGAATAACTTTCTACCTTACAATTATTTGAAAATGGTTTTGATCTTTCTCCAAAGAATTCATAAAGATACTTTATTCAAGGAATTTTACATGTATATACCCTATTTAATTTTACATGTATATACCCTATTTACCCTAAATTATTTATTAAAATAATTTTGCAAGATTTTGAAATCCATTAATTTAAAGTTTTTTTGGTTTTAATCGTGGTTTCTTTGTAAGGCGGACCCCTGATTTTAATTGTAATTGAAAAATTGATAACGGTTTGACATCAAGCATATTGCAGATCAGAAACAAAAAGAGTGCTTGAAGCGCAAAATGTTCAACTTTCTGTTCTGACATCTTTTTATCTTCGAAAATT